CTGCTTTTTGCTTCCCAAGTGTTTTCCTCACCGAGGAACCAGGGCTGGGTTAATATTTGTCTCCTGTCACGAGTTCCTTGGCCTTGGAGAGGAGAGATGGAGTTGCCGGGGTCAGAGTCTGACCCCTCACTGGGTTGCAGCTCGGCTGGGGTCATCGACTGCCAGGATGAGTGAAAGGGAGTGATAAATCTGGAGGGGGAATGAGGAAATCTCGTGGTGCAGGTGGAGGGAAGCTCATTTTCCCAAGAATCCTTCCCAAGGAAGGCAGTTCCTTCTTGGCAAGAGGCTGCTGGAGCCAGGAAGTTGGGAATTACCATTGATCCTTCCTCACCGGACGCTGTGAAGATGATATCCCAGATCTCCAGCCCCGGCGTGGCTCCCTGCTGCTCTTTTTACCAGGAGGGGTTTGTTCCTCTGCTTCCCAGAGCATCTTGACAGCTGAAAACACAGATTTTTCTTCAGTGTTTGGAGTTTCTGAGCAATAAAAGGTTGAAAAGCAATCACCGGGGAGCGAAAGGCAAACAGGGCAGGGTGAAAACAAACACGGTCCTTCTGATGGTGAGGTTGGCTCGGCGGAGCCGGCCTCGGCTGCCTGCCAGCATCTCACCCAAGGGCACTTCCTTTTTTTGGCAAAAAGGGAAATGTTAACTCCCAAATCCACATCAAAGCAGCTGCTGCCGGCGCGGAGGCAGCAGGCAGAGCGTCGGCGAGCTCAGCCCCAACCAGCTGGCTGCCACCCTCCTGGTTTTTCCTCCCCAGCCAGAGGAAGTGGCTAAGCCAAGATTATTTGAGGTTGCTACCAGTCAAGGAGGCTGAAGACAACCAGGTTGATCCCTGGGATAGATCCTTGGTGCTCCTCTGGGTCACCAGTCCTGCCTGGCTGTTGGGCATCACACCAAAGCGCGTGGCTGGTTCCGCTTTGCCATGCAGAGACGTCTCTAAACCAGTCAAATCCCAAAGTCCTGCACTGGGGCAACTGGAGGGAGGGAGGGAGGGAGGGAGTTGTTCCCTCCCTCTCCCCGGGGCAAATTATGGTCCTAAACTTATTAACATCCCTTTTCAAGGGGCAGGTTGGGAGGAGCCAGGCTGTCATGATCCTGGGGACTGTAGGAAAGTTCTCTCTCTCTCTCTCTCTCTCTCTCAATTTTTAATTTTTCTTTCATTTCTTCCAGAATATGCCGAATTTTTGCACTGCAAATCCAAAAAATTCACAGATTTCGACGAGGTGCGGCAGGAAATCGAAGCGGAAACCGACAGGGTGACAGGAACAAACAAAGGCATCTCCCCCGTCCCCATCAACCTCCGCGTCTACTCACCGCACGGTGAGCGACCCCCTTTCCCTGCCCCAAACCTCCTGTGGGTTAAAACACCACGAAAGAAGCAAATCTGGTGTTGGCACACGTGGGGTTTGGCTCAACCCGTGTCCTAAAAGCAAATCCTGGCTGTGATGTGTGTCTGACTGATCTTAGACCAGCCTGGAGGGTCGATGGGGGCTGCCTGGGACATGAATAGAGCAGGAGTTCTTCCTTCAAGGGGGGATTCTGAGGCTGGTGGAGGGGTGGATCTCTCCACAGATCTGAAAAGATCCATCTACAAGACCGACAGCTCCAATCACCAGGAGCTTAAGACCTCACCTTCCTTCAAGACCTCACCTTCCTTCAAGACCTCACCTTCCTTCAAGGGGGATTCTGAGGCTGGTGGAGGGGTGGTTCTCTCCACAGATCTGAAAAGATCCATCTACAAGACCAACATCTCCAATCACCAGGTCCTTGACCCCTCAAGACAGTTGATCTCTTGTCTTTTCAGTGTTGAACCTGACTCTGATCGATCTCCCGGGCATCACCAAAGTGCCGGTGGGGGATCAACCGCAGGATATCGAGTACCAGATCAAAGACATGATCCTGCAGTTCATCAGCAGGGAGAGCAGCTTGATCCTGGCTGTCACGCCGGCCAACATGGACCTGGCCAACTCGGATGCGCTCAAGATGGCGAAAGAAGTTGATCCTCAAGGTAAGATGGACGTGTCCTCCTGCTCCGGCCCGGGTGTGAGTGGTTGTTGTTCCTGAGGTTGATTGATCCCTTGTTTGTGAGATTGATTTGTTGTTTGTGAGATTGATTGATCTGTTGTTTGTGAGATTGATCGATTCGATTCCTTGTTAATGAGATCGACCGATTCCCTGTCTGTGAGACTGATCAATTCCTCATTGATGAGACTGATCAATTGCTCATCTGTGAGATTGATCCATCCCTCGTTTGTGAGATCTATCAAATCCTTGTTCATGAGATTGATTGATTGCTTGTTTGTGGGACTGATTGATTTGTGAGATTGATCGGTTCGATTCCTTGTTAATGAGATCGATCGATTCCCTGTCCGTGAGACTGATCAATTGCTCATCTGTGAGATTGATCCATCCCTCGTTTGTGAGATTGATCCATCCCTCGTTTGTGAGACTGATTTGTTGTTCATGAGATTGATTGATTTGTTGTTCATGAGATTGATCAATACCTTGTTTGTGAGATTGATCGATGTGTGAGATTGATTGATTTGATTCCTTGTTAATGAGATCGATCGATTCCCTGTCTGTGAGACTGATTAATTCCCTGTTCATGAGACTGATCGATTCCCTGTCTGTGAGACTGATCAATTGCTCATTTGTGAGATTGATCGATCCCTCGTTTGTGAGATCTATTGATTCCTCATTTGTGAGATCTATCAAATCCTTGTTCGTGAGATTGATCGATTGCTTGTGAGATTGATCAATTTTGTGAGACTGATTGATTTGTGAGACTGATCGATCCCTTGTTTGTGAGATTGATTGATTTACGAGATTGATTGATCCCTTGTTTGTGAGATTGATTGATCCCTTGTTTGTGAGACTGATCGATCCCTTGTTTGTGAGATTGATTGATTGATCCCTTGTTTGTGAGACTGATTGATCCCTTGTTTGTGAGATTGATTGATTTACGAGATTGATTGATCCCTTGTTTGTGAGATTGATTGATTTGTGAGACTTGAGATTGATTGATTTGTGAGACTGAT